AAGGTGAAAGTACATACATAACATAAAATAACATCTATCCTAAAGTACGTGACGCCAACCAACTAGTAAACATATCTTCTGCTAATTTGTCTCTCCACTCAGTCCAAGCACTGCTTGGCTCACAATGTCTGATCATTTCTACCTCATTAATCTCCTCAACATGCCTACTATCTTCAGTATAGTTAGATTCAATAGGATCAATTGGCATCTCAGATCTTATGAAATTATGGAGAAGACAACAAGCAAAAATGAGTCTACATTATGTTTTCACTGGATAAAATGATTTTTCCCTTAAAATTGCCCATCTCGCTTTCAATATGCCAAAACATCTCTCAATGCAATTCCTAACTTGAGAATGTTTCATGTTGAAATATTCTTTAGGGGTGGTAGGTTGATGTCCTTCTCTCCAATCATTCAAGTGGTATCTTTGACCTCTATATGGTGCAAGAAATCCCTCTCCATTCGTATATCCAGCATCACATAAGTAGTAACACCCTATATTATTTTAATTTAAAAAGTGAATTAATAACCAAACACTTGTAAGAATTTTACATTATATATATATATATATATATATATATATATATATATACCTAATAATTTACCTTGTGGAACATTTAAACCATTTCTTCTACTAATGGCATCTCTGAGTATTTTACCATCAGCTGCAGAACCTTCCCACCCAGGTAAAACATAAATGAATTGCATGTTTGGTGTGCAAACACCAAGTACATTTGTCGTAATTTCATTTTTTCTTGTTCTGTATCTAGGTTTATCGATTGAAGCTACATTGACCTTAATATACGTTCCATCTAGAGCACCCAAACATCCCTATATTCATCAAATAAAGTTAAGTTACATTATTACTATCCATTTCTGTATTAAGTATTACTAATTAACTTAAAAGAAATTTCAGAATTATGATACAATACCTTAAACCATTTACATCTATCGTCTGTTGAATTATCTTGTATCGGTTCTGGTTTTCTAAAAAGACTCGGATGCAGTTTCAAGACTGAAGCTAACACTGCATGGAGAACTCTACTAATTGTTTCACCATATCTTATTGTTTGACGTTTTAGAACTCTAATCTTAATATGGTGGGATATAATATGAAGGAAAATAATAACCATTTCTTCTATAGACATAGACCGACTCTCTTTTAACCCACCTTGACTTTGTAATAGGTGACACAATTTGAGAAATGCTCTCCTATCCATTCGACAATTATCAACACTTTGTCTATCGCTTTCAAATACAATTTTATGTAAATTAAGTGATCTAATATTGTGTCTATGAAGTATTTCATGTGAATAACTTATTTTAGGTCTATTTTTATATTTTCTAAGAATAACTGAAATAACCATAAGTATATGACACACAATTTCCATCATTTGCAGTTGTAAAATAAGAATTGTGGCGATATGCATCTTCTTTCGCATCGGTAAACGAGCCATAACTGTTATTATGAACAAACATTTTAATATTAGAACATAATAATATTGAATAAGAACAATTGTGTGTCATCACATTAAAAATAAATGAAAACTAATTTAACATGAGATTAGAAAAGATAAAAGCGAATGCGATCAAGCAAAAACCAGTAATGTAACCACCAAATTTCTATTTCAAGCATCAAGAATTCAAGCATGTAAAGAAAAAAGTGATTCTTATTTGCAGAAAACTCGTGAAAAGTAAGATCATTCGATAACCAAAGATAAGCTAACTCTCAAGCCTATAAAATTGTAATAAAATTTATATTATACAATTTCTAGAAACTGGAAATTTATATTTATCTTTATTGCATTCTTCTGCAAAAAGAATGAGCTTCTTTTAGGTTTCTATAAGATGGTTACTTCTGATTATTAAAATACTGCATTCCTGTTAACCTACCGTTACGAAAAAGATCTATGCAGCAGTCTTTGAATGGAGAAAAAATAATTAGGTGGAACGATGTCCCATCCAGTACAAACTAAAATGTTGCTAGGGTCTAAAGTGAAGTTTATTATCTTAGTGAACTTATGAGGTTTAAAACTATTCTTATATTAGACAAACAATATCCTAAAAACATAATGCTATTCTTAGCTTGCAAGTATGTAAACGTGACAAAAATAACTCATGCTTGAATAACATCAAAGATAAATGAGAGAAACTCAGTGATTTATCATGCATATTCCACAAATAATGCATTGCAGCATGTTGTGCCCAGTTGATTTTGAAAATGCTAGGGGTTCTGAAATCGAAGGTCTGGTTTCAAAACCGAGGCCTTGGTTCCAAAACCAAAAAGCTTTCTGGAAAATGAATTTCAATACTGGCTTGAAATTTTGAAATTGGGGTAAAAATTGACTTGTTTTTGTATTTTTGACACTAAGAAAATATTTTAAGATCATGGATTAAATCAAAACACTTGAAACTCAATTTTGAATATATATAACTTAGTAAAACCATTTTAAAAACTTCATATGGCAAATCTCATTTTTTTACAATTTAATCACTTAATAAAACTTGTTATATCAAAATCAAATATTAGTTCAACATAAAAGAAGTTGGTGAAATTTTGAAATTCAAACAGGACACTAACAACAACTCTGGAGAAACTAAACACAACCAAACCTTACGTTCTTGTTTAGCACCAAATGCATCCTACGAAAGTGATTTTGCACAGCAATGTAAGGAATATATTACAAGAACTGAACCATGTGTTCAAGTAAACTCGGCCAAACAAAGTCGGGTACATAACTTCTGCTTCAGCCTCGGGTTTGTTTCTTTGACATTAACCTTCATTTTTGTATAGGTTCTTTTCAAGGACTTTGGATGAAGAAACCAAAGAAAAGGATGTCTTTGTAAGTTACTGAACCATTGAATGTTGTTCTAGCGGTACTCATATAAATTTCATGTTTCTATATTCATTTTTATGATAATTGGGAGTTAGCCAAAAGAGAAGGGAAGAGGGGGTTGATGAACTAATATGGAGGGGCAATGTTACATGTCTTTCGGACCAGATCGCCTTAAATTTTGATGTCAGAGAGATTTGAAGCAGTCCAGAAGTATTTATGCACTCTCTAAACGACACTTTGCTCATTTGGATTAAGACTATAGTTTAAGCTATAGCTTGTGCAGACCTTAAATCCTAGGCTTGCACTTGCACTTCTCTTTGTATCTTTATTTCTTTTTCACCTTGTTTCTGATTTGTCATTATTATTGTTAGCAAGGGATCATGTATGAACTATGAACAATGAACTTTTAGCAAGACTGTTTTTCTTTTATTTCAAAATAAAAGATAAAATAAATTATAACAGAAAATTTCATAAAAGATATTTCAGTAGACGGATCCATAAAAACACCCATCAAAACCATCAATTATAACTAAGTTCAAGCAAATTAACAACAAGCTTCAAGCATGAAACAAAACCCAGACCAACAAATCAACTAAGGATGAAGATAAACAAGTCAAAAGAAAAATCCAGAGAGCAAAACAATTGATCATCAATAAGGGGGAAACCCATGAACAAGACTGAATGATAATCAGAAAATGAACAGAAATTGGGGAAGATGAAACATAGAAGAAACATCAAAGAAATTGAAGATTAAACAAAGGAAAAGTATATATGTAAACTCACATCCTTGCTTGATTGTTTTCTGTTTTCCACATAATCTGCTTTCAGGAAGAGGAGCGTCCGCGGGAATTTCACATAATCAAGCAAAACAAAGGAAGAAGGTTATTTTAGACAACTGGGACGGGAATGATAAAATACCTAAGAAAGATAGGGGATATACATTCCTTGGAAAACAGGAAAAAAAAATTACTGTTGGTATTGGTTTTTAACTGGCACTTGGTAATGTGCTCCCATCCAAACGTGAGTATATCTATTTGGGAAAAAAACATTCCTCCCAAGAATGCATTATACCGTGAACCAAACGGGCTGTTAAGGGTTGTTTGGTTCAGGGAATGTGGGATTCCCATAGGAATGAAATCCACATTCCCCCGTTCGGTTGGCCGGGAATGTCATTCCCGATAATATTTTATTATCAATAGTGGGTTTTTTTTTATATTATCGCGAATGTTATTACCCCTTCCCTTAGGTATTGTTGGATTATCGACGTTTTAGACTAAAATGCCCTTAAAATATTTTTTTTTCAAAAATATTTTTTTTTCAAAAATATACTTCTGTCATTGAATAATAAAAATTCTACGAAGGTTAAATTACAAATTTATCCTTAAACTATTTTAGATTTACAAACAAAAATTTATAATTAAAATTTATCCTTAAATTTTTTTATATTTTTAATTTTGTAAAAAAAATTATATAAATTTTATGAATTTAAATTTTTTAAAGAAAATATATAAATATTTTTCAGCTTGTTAAAAAAACAAATATATGATAAAGACAATTTGGTCAAATATACATTCCAATAATCTTTTATTCCTTTAACCAAACATGGTAATCTTACATTCATGCTAATCCAACCAAACACAAAATACAACATTCTCAGTAATCATATTCCCTATTAATCTTTTATTCTCACTGGTAATCTTACATTCTGTGAATCAAGCGCACCCTTAAATATTGTGTTTTATGCACGCCTCAAGTTCTATATTTAATCCTTGTCTCAATTCAACCCCATATTTTGTATAAACATGAAGGTATTTTACCAGACACCTCTGCAAATCAAAATTATTACACGACCTCTACTGATGATCCTCAATTGTTATCAATGGACGATTAATTTAAGTGGTAAACAACTTGATATCGTTTGAGTAGATTTTAAGTTCGAGTTATTGCATATGAAGAAAATCTCTGTTGAGAGACTCACCCACTACAATCAGGTGTGCGATGCGAGCCAATTCATATTATCAAGAGCAACCATCAAAACAGAGGTTGGTTCAAGTGGTACGCATAACATCAAGTCAACTAAAGAGAGCTTGGTAAAATCGATCACTCGTTATGTTGCACACTTCCCACAATGCACACTCTATTCTTCTTTTCTTCTTTTGCTTCTTAAGTTGCATCTACTGTGGCATGTATAATATGACATCCATATGGCCTCAATCTAGTACCCTTTTTTTCTGGTACAACCTCCTGTAAATTTTCGCGCCTTCAAATTCCGCATGGATTTCTCTTTCGGTCCTGATACCCATTGGATTGTTCAGTAACCATCCCTTGTCGTCGCATAACACACTTGAATCAACCATGTCAATGGGTTGAAGTACATCAGACTCTACATCCAACTGCTTTCTCATGTCTTCAGCGACTTCAAGCACATCAGATTGTATAAAAACCTGTCCAAATACAATGATAAATCTTATACTAAAAGATTTCAGAGCTTGAATATATAGATGATTTTAGCCCTGTTTAGGCAAGGGACTCCTGAGATCAGATTCATAAGATCCAACATGATACGGGAAACTTCGAGAAATAGTTTTAAAAGGGTCTGTGACAGGTTATGGTATTCACATGCCAGTGCTACCTAATAAACCGATAATCGGACGGAAGGGCATACCTTTCCTTCGGGCATCAAACTAGTTAAGATGGAATCTACTAAAGGCTTCTGTACAACCCTTCTTTTATGATGCCTTTTCTTGAAATGAGGATCCGGGCACTGCATACAGCATATAAGTATTGGCATTTAACCTACTAAATCAAAAGGAATGATCCAGGGGCACAAGCGCACACACCAATATTGAAACTAGCGACAAAGGTCCGGGGTAAGCAGATACTAACTGTCTGAACGAAACGGAAGCATTTGCGAAAATGAAACGACTGCAATAACAGAAAATATGATCAAATCCCCAACAACACTGTTCTTCATAAAATGTGAGTTTTGAAAGCTTACATGTTACTAAGAGCCAGCTTCTTTACCCAAAACTCAGCACGTTTAACTAGCTGCTGGACAAGCAAAAATATATGACCAGGTAAATGTAAATGTACTTGGAAAGTACAATTGTTGAGTAAAACAGTAAAAGTCCGAGGAGTCCGATCTCATACTTTTTCTCTTATTTCCAGTCCCAAATAATTTTGTGAATCGGGATTTTGTTTCGCAAGCCATAAGAGAAACCTGCCACTTCCTGAGGAATGTTTTATCGTTGTTAAATTTATCAGTACTTGTCCATGCTTTATCTGGTAGCAGTTCTAAATACTTACCACAAACAAAAGAAACAAAAAGAAAGATACTTGAGACAACAATGTTAATAACTAAGTTCTGAAGCAAATCTTGACAGACATTGTGAATTATGTGAACAAAGTTTTTAACCATTGATATCGTATCAAAGATGATTAGGTAAATTATATAGAAAATGGAAGTCGACTGTTCAAAGTGTTGACCGAGCCATATTAAAGCTAAAAAAAGGCCAGCTAGAAAACGATAAATAGCTGAAGAAACATAGCACCACTAGGTCCACTATGGTATTCTGCTGCCTCAACATTAACCTACCTGCTCAAAATCATAATGGTATACATTATTGGATAGTATAAACAATTTACAGGTTCAGATTCTAATGGAAATGAAACCAGGAACCAAAAGGGAACAGCCACCTGCTTTCCCAAATTCTACATAGATCACAGGAAACCGCTTTCCGGCGACAGGATTCTTAGAGTGCTCCGTTCGTGCAAAAGGGGGAGTACAATCTATGTTGCTCCTACTCTTTATTTTTCTCAAAGAACCCAGGTCAGATGCATATCCAGACAGGGATATGGGGATATAATCCTGAAAGGACCCTCAAACATCATCCAGTAGCTAACATGTATTCATTTTTCTATCACTAATTGGAGAATAAATCGAGCATCTTCTCATGAATGAAAAAGGTGAAATTGCAAACATCATCAGGTAGCTAACATGTCTTAATTTGCCTATCACTAGCAATCACCTCTGAATGAGTTAAAAGAATTATCAAATGGATAGCATAGCAGCAGTTAGTTGATAATTTTGAATGGAGAGAGAGGTAACCACTTACCACTTCCAATATCCACCATAAGTGGCAATGCAGGATCCTTGAAGACTTCACCCCAATCAGGTACAGGCGCTGCCACCTACTCAGAGGACAATAATATAAGACTTCATTTAAGTAAAGCTCTTGATAGCAAGCCAAGAAGCATGAAAACCAGAAGCGAATGAGACAAAAGACATCACTTCTATTATCTACCACAAGAAATAACTTGTTCACTACTGCAATGCAAGAGAGAAATAAGAAGAAAAAAACCACAGAGATAACTCACAGAGAAAGATGAACTGAGAGGGTTGACATGTTGCCTGATTCTTACATGACCCAACTCCTGCAACCAAATAAAGGAGGGAAAAGGTTATCAATGTAAAATTATAATCAAAAGAGGAAAACTTGATGACCCATTATCAGGAAAAGATAAAGCTTGATAGTGGAGATAAATGAAAGGGCACCTGAGAAATCTTGTCAGTGAGGTTAAGGTCGGCATACTCGAGAGCCACTAGATCAGTACTCCTAAGCTCCTTTTTATCAGAAATGGAAACCGAAACAGAAGCAGAAGCTCTGGAAATGCAATATTTGTGTGGACGAAAAGAAGGGAGTTTGTGGAGCTTTATTGCCGATGAAAGAGTTTGTTTTGCAGCCCTTGGGACTGCACAACTGTTTAAGCAAAGGGAAGAAATCATTTTTGCTCTATAATTTTACAGGCTCATAATTAGTTCATATTATTCCTTCTTCCATCTTCCTCTGGCAATCTTCGTTTGCCTATTATGTCTATCTGTCTGGTTTCAAGACTAGAAAAATCTGCCAAAACCAGCCCATCTTCCAAGGTGCGTTTGGGTATTGGTTTATGTTTAAGGCAAACAACAAAATACGTCTGCTATTTAGAAAGGCCTGTAGAAGCCCATAAAACGAACACTTATGTTTTATCAATCCAGAATCCTTGGTGGATATGGTGCCAAGTTTCAGTTGATACCTCAAAAAGAACACGTTTTTAAAGGATGTGACGCAACTGCTCGAATCAAAATTCAAACTTGGAAGTATGAAATATATGGTTTTACAGATGTGGTTCCTTCAAGTTGATTCACATAAACCATACACGTTAAATAGTTGCTTAATAAACAAACTTTGAATAAGGAAGGGATTAATGACTAAAAATTGCAGTCTGGGTTATTGTTCCTAATAAATTGGGACAATCATAAAACGTAAAGCAATAGTTTTTGTTCTATAATGCATTTTCATATGCAGGTATCTTAGGGTAGCTCGGCTCCTTAATGACTCATTGCGCTGGAAGGAAGTCAGACGACAACCGATACCGCTTGCCATAAACAAGGCTGATCATTGAAATTCAATATCAACAGTGGCTTGCTCATGATAGAATAATTAAACCAATAATTGTTCAAAGATCCAGTTACATAAATAAGTTAAAATCAGGATCAAAATTAAATTACTTTTTCACTCCCTGGTCCCTACTGAATTTTTACACAAGTCCAACTTGGACCTTTTTCTTAGTTGCAAGGCTACCCCCAGACAGCTCAGCTCTCAAAACATGAATATACATGAAAAGAGTTCAGTTAAGAATGACAGAAGAGCTATATAGCTCAATGTTGGTTGGGCAACCAATGGCCAAATATGAAAAAAGGGGTCAGACAGACTTCACAAAGTGGCGTGATAGCATTTTCCCAATCTCCAGGAAACCGACCTTTTCTTTTCCATTGAAAATGGTCTTAAGCTTCTCATCACAAAAGATCTCCCTCTTGTTATCAGGATTCTGCAGGCAAATATTTCCATACGTTTCAGTGCATGTTACAAGAGAGTATCCTCATACAAAAATGTCAGTCGCTCAAAATATGGTATCTAAGCAAAATCTACTAAACACAAAGTAGTATAAATCAGCAACTTTGACATCACAACATGCAGCATATACGGCAATAATGACAGTAACCGCTTACATTATATATTCCACATAAATTTCTGTTTCTCAACAGAATCGCCATTTCTGCCTTAGGTGAACACAAATATAAAACACATAAATTTATGTTACTCAACTTCAACAGACAAAATATGAAACATATGAGGTTAGGAGGATCCATAAACACTGTAGAGAGAATCTCAACTATTATCCCATACTTATAGTCATTGTTCATTCATCATCACTTTTATACCAACAATAGCTACTCCATATTAAGGAACCGATCGAAATCCCTAAAAAGTTCAATTTCTCAACTGAGTGCGCAGAATATACATTGTGTGAAAGATATGTGAAAAATGTTCACCAATGGAAACTCTTAAGCAAACATTAGAGAAGATAAAGAAAGCAGAGGGTGAAAATGTTGCCTCGGAGGTAGAAATCTTAAAAGAGAGACATATCAAACACCAAATACAACCTGCATTTGGAAAACTCAAATGCCGAGCCAGCCCAGCATATTAATTGAAACTGTGAAAAAGGTAAATGATGTATAAATGAATACAAAATTTGTCACAAGAAACAGGAAAAATCCATTACAGTGTTCCAGTCTCAATTTTTTCTCTCCAAAATCCAAGCAAGAACTTATCTTGTGGAAAATCAGGAGATGCAATAAGAAGGGCTATGGTGGGATAGCCTATGACTTAATTAAAGCAAAGAACCCAAAGTTCTTAAATCACTTTTGGAATACTCCATTCTTTCCGTTCACCTTTACCCCACTTTCTTACAAGAAGAAACTGATATGCCTTCTACTCACATCACTTCTCTGAGTTATAACAAGTTTTCTCCTATAATTGTAACTTCAAAAACACAACAGGGAAAAATCCTTTCACAATAGCAATCCAAGCATAAATTTCAATACCATTAAAAAGAACTATAGTTAGATTCATGAACAATAAGAATCCAATCTCCCTCAATGGGACCAACATTAACATTCAGTGGCGGATATAAGTGACTAAGTGCTGTTCAGAGTGGACAAGTGTCCTCCCTAAAATATAAATTTCTTTATATTAGTTGTTAATTTTACTGATGGCGCCCACTAATACGAAAAATTTTTGTTACTAATATATATGTGCCCACCCTAAAAAGAATATTTCTGGATCCGCATCATTAACGGTTGAAGATTCACAAAACTAATCCTACTATAGTGCCAGCTTAACTTCTCTTCAACAATAAACACCAAAAAGGTGCAAAACTCATCATTATAAACAACATAGAGAGGGGAGAGAGGAAAAAAAACAATGAAAATGGTACAGAAACCTCAGAACGCCAGCAAGCAAGCAACATGGGGCGAAGAATCATCAATAAACCAAACTTATAAAACACCAAAGTTGAAAGCATTTCCTCAAGCCCACATTCATTTACATTTTGCATCATTCCGGAGATACTAAAATAAAGCAATTCCAATAAAAATAATAAACAAGAAAATAGTAAAGGAAAAGAAAGCAAAGACAACCCAGAAAAAAAAAACAAACCAAATAAATAATAACTTTATAAATGAAGTAAAAGAAACACTACAGAGATAGAGAAGACCTGGAGGTTGTGGGATTTGATATAGTTCCAGATCTGCTTAACAGCGTCCGTACGGGAAGCTTGTTGAGCTCCAAGGAATCGACCCAAAGCAGGGGAAACAGGGGCGATTTTAAAAATCCCGGACGGTCGAGTCGTGGTTCGGGGCGTAGCTGGTTTTTCAACCTTGGGTGAAGTGGTCGACTTTTTCGGAGTTTTATGAGCCGCTTTTGAAGTAGCTGATTTGGCAGCGGTAGTGGTCGAAGATGAAGAAGAAAACTTGGCTGCTGCAGCTGACGCTGCCGACGTAGACGCCGGGGAAGTTAACGGCGCCTTGAAACTGATGAAAACCCTAGAGATTGTTGATTGCTAGAGGGAGAGAGATAGGCTCGCCTTGAACATTGTTGCCGGGTGAAGTGCAGAATCTATATTTCGAGCTCGATCTTTTTGGAAAGGTCGTCGTGTAATTTGTGATCTTAAAATAAAACTCATTCATCTAAAAATAATTTTTAATTATCCGTTCTTTGTTCCCTTATAAATAAAAAGTTGAAAATTATAAGATTCATTCATCTAAAAATAATTTGTAAAATAATATACTCAAGCAAGTCATTGAACTCATATACCAAAACAAAGCATATCAACATATAAACTGAGTATAAATGTCGTACTTTATGCATGATGCGGAGTACGAATAATGAGTCCCAACTGCCTAACGACAACACAACATATCAAAGGGTGGATTTGGCATTCGAATCAGGGGAACCACAACAGAGGGCATATTTATCAACCCTAAAGGTGAATCGCAAAATTTCTTCCTCACAATCCTAAAACCCCAGTGTATACGTGTCATGTTATGTCAAAGGAGGTAATAACTTACCAAAGTTTCATCAATTTGGAAGCATCGTAATGCAGAGGTCATACATATGAAATCATATTCAGAATAATGTCTTATACGGAACATGCATATTATGTTATTGCATAAGCGAATAATCAGAAATTATAATCATTGATATTACATATTCAAGACGCAGTCACGCACTAAGACAATCCCAAAAAAAATCTATCATTAACAAGAAATTATAAAACATAGAACTCGACCAAAAAGGGAGAAAGAATGTAAGATTAAATCATCGGCACACATGTCTAAAACACATTGAATAAACTTTCAAACAGAACTCAAGTTTATACCAAGTTATACGGGGGAAGACACCCAATGTCTCTTAAAAGGCACAATTTGTGAACATTAGAACAAGTATCATTTCTCTAACCCGAACTACGCTAAGTCTAATACTTATATCGAAAGAAAGGATAAATTATTCAGAACTCATTTTGGGCACCAACTTAGAATCACCTCATTGAAATTGTTGAAATAAATACAACTTACCTGAATCGATGAAGCTAGCCTTCTAAATTTGATATTTGAAGTCAAAATTAACCTTAGAAAGATTAGAAACATAGATTGTATCAATAACAAAAAAAAATGGACTGAAATCAGATAAATGGTTCAAATTGAGAAGTTAAACGCAGAAAAATAGCTTACATGGGCAAAGTCTACAAAAAATCAACGGTTAAATCGAAAAGTCAATGTTATCAAAAAGTCAATGGAAGAAGTCAACATGCATGGGTCAACATTCGAGACAAGTCAGTCAAAATGTGTCAAATATTCAAGTCAAGTAGTTTTGGTCAACCTAGGTCAAAATGGGTTGGGTCAAAGTCAATCGAGTTAGATCGGGATAAAGATCAAATCAAATGGGTTAGATTAAATTAGTCAGATCAATTTGATTCAATCGAGTTGGATCTGAAGTCTTGGGTTGAACCATGACAAGTGACTCTAGGTACAGGCTTGGATCGACTCAGTCCATCAAGTTAGAATGGCTTTGGGTCTAGGTTATGGCAAGTTGAGCTTGTCAGACCTCTAGGCTTAGACAATATAAGCTCCAATATACGAGTTTAGATGATTGGGTCTTGGGCTTAAACAATTGAAGTCCAACCACATGTGATGGGTCATACTAAATAGGCTCGTTAGGCTCAATGGTTAGGTTTAGATCCAAAAGGAGTTGGTTAGACGAGCCGAAGTTGAATTGGGCTGGATGGACTCTAAAACCAACAAATTTTGATGGTTCAGTCAGCATCTTCTAGAAGACAAGCGGAATTATCTTGATATTTAATTAAAATTTATCTTGCATAAAGTTATCTGGAAGATGAAGTAGAATTCAATTAGAATTACAAGACTTAAATATTTATTTTTAATTTTTTTTGAGAAACCTATTAAATTTAGGGTTTTTAGGTTGATATTTTTTTATTATTTTATTTAAGAATTGATTATTTTATTAGAAGACTCGATAGGATTTTTAGTTTGATTACATCATTATCTTTTATTTAGGAATTAGTTATTTTATTTACTTAGAACTCTCTAGTTATAAATACCCCTTAGGTTCAACCTTTGAACTCAGATTGGAATTTATATTTTCTTGGCTATTTATTGAAGTTCTACTTTTCTTTCATCTTATTATTTTCTTTTCATTATGGTTAATATGATCCGATCCATACTTAGCTAAACTCCACTTAGCCTAAAGCTTTGTGGATAGGGAAGAGGTGTTGGATTAATGAACGTTACTCTTGTTGAAGAATCAAACCTAGAAAGCTCTAGACTCGATGAAGAATAAAGAATGATGAATAGTAGAAGGTGGCTCCCTTATGAAGGTGAACGGTAAAGATGATGATGGTGACGATGGATTTGTGGAAAATAGATGGATAAGTGTCCTATCGAACCCTCCTAGTCGCAATGAAAAGGCAAACTCGATAATATGGCTCTAAGTGTCATGTCGAACCCTCCTAGTCGCAATGAAAAGGCAAACTTGATAATATGACTCTAACCAACCTTCCTAGTCGCGATGAAAAGACAAATTGGAGTGTGAAGATTAATCTCCCTCACAAGAACTTGAAAGAACTCCATGAGAAGAAGCTTCGAAGGCACAAGACAATCAACACTTGCAAAAACGAACTCTCATTGTATTATTAAGCAAAGAAATATGTTTTACAAAGTTGAATGAAGCCTCATTTATATAGGAGCAGAGTTCCAAATGTCCTAAATAACTAATGAATAAAATAATAATAAACGTCTTAACTCTATTTCCTAATAAAATAATAATAACTAAAAACAATGTTTTTAACTCAACCTTAATTCTTAATAAAATAATAAATATAATCCTAAAAGATAATGCATCATCCTATATTAAATTATATTACAAATAATCAATATAAATATTGAAAATTCGTAATATTTACAAAAATCATGTATTAATCTCGTATAGGAATTTCTGCATGTGTTGTCTTCACTAAAATGGACGTATCTTGAGTTCACGATATCAGATTGACACGATTCAAGAACCTTTGGAAAGATAAGAGATATAAGGTTGTATATCTAGAAGACATGTCGACCAAATAAGATCAGGATCCCATTCAAAAAGTCACCGTAAGTCTGCTACTGTTCTGATCTTCTTTTCCAAGGCTTGGACGAGTGGATCATTTGGAATAGTTATTAATTCTTCCTTTGATGTGAGACTTGCGATGCATGTGTCATCCTCCCTTTCTTCAAAAATATTCGACCTCGAATATGAAACATTAAAGGGAGCAACATTATAATCGTTTAATAATTCATTCACATTATGCTTACCGAATATATATGCTTTGAATCTTCGAGACTTTGTTCTTCTAATAGGTTCGAGTAGAAACATTAGTCCAAAGAAGCATGTATTATGGACTATGGTGCATGTATCATTCCCCCACTCCTCAAAAGGATTCATCCTCGAATCTAAAAATCCAAGAGAAAATAAATTAGATATTTTGAAAGGAAAACTTGTGAAACATTTACCATGATCAATGTGATGTGTCTTTATGCGTTTTAGTCGAGGTTTCTTCTTTGTAGGAATTGCTTTCTTGTAGTCTTGAAATCCTCTTTTGGATACAAGTCTTGTAATCTGATGTTTAGGTTGAGAAAGAGTGTTTAAAAACCATGTCAACTGGTTTGTTAAAGTAATCCCTTAAGTTTCCTAAGTGTGGTTCATGAATTAAGAATTCTTAGGAGGAGATTTGTGGATTGTATAACCTTCGTGGTAGTGCATTGTCTACCGTGTTTTGCTTACCTCGGTCTTTAGACTCTCGTAAATCATGACTCTTCATTGATATGACATAGTGATTAGGGCTTTCAGGTTGTAACCGGTCATGAGGGTCACCTAGCACTATTCGACAACTCTTGGCGATGGAAGATGGTGTGAGCTAGTCCTGTGTTGCTTTTACTTTTTCATCATTTACATGGATTCCCTTTGCACAAACTATAAAGCCTGTGGAGTTGTTCAAATCCTGTTTTTTCATTAAGATGACGTCACGACTAAGGCTTTCTTGGATGTAACCTTTTTGTAACAAATCTAACTCTTTGGTTTCTTCAAAATTGTATGTTTGACGAGGTATGATAGAACCTTGAATTAGATTGGTTTGGTGTTGGTTTCCTCTTTCTAGTGGTAATCCGTCAGGTGGATCACCTAACACTTCTCAAAAATCATGTAACAAAGATGAAAACACACTAGACAAATCCTTGTTAATGTTAGAAATTGAAACAATTGATTCCCTAAAGCAAACAAGGATGCAAGGTTATTTGTAAAGAAGGTTCTATCTCAATTCTTTTGTGCTCATGCATAAATTTTGAGTCACTCTTTTCTTCTCACAATTAGGTTCACTCACCTCTCATGGGTCATTATTCATTTGGCTTTTGTAACTAGTGACCTCTTTTGCTTTTGCCTCTTTCTCATCTTTTTATTTTTTTTTTACTTTCCCTACCTCCTCATAAATTCTCATTTGATCTTTAGGGGATGAAAGTGTTTCATTCTTTGTTGGTCGTTGTTTCTTCTTGTCCGATTTGTCATCCCTCAACTTTTTTTGAGAATATGGAGCAGAAGATGAAGAATGATTTGAAGGATTACCTTGGTAAGAGGATAAAGTACCTTGGTAATATTCTCTGAATCGGAATCTCCTTTGGATTTGTTCTTCGATTGTTATTGTCTTCTTTAGTGTATCTTCAAGGTTTTCGTACTCATGGAGGTCAATAAGATTAGTGATGTTTGAGTTCAAGCTGAGAACGAATCTTGACAAGGAGTCCTCATCTTTTTCAATTATGTTAGCCCTACTAAGTAAGGAATGCATCTCCTTGTAATAGTCTTCAATTGAACTTCTACCTTGTCGAAGTTGGTATAGTCGTAGTTTAAATTCTCGTGTATAATGTATCGGTAGGAGTCAGTTTCTCATGGTTTGTTTGAGGTCGGTCCAAGAAGTGATTGCTTGAATTTGGAAGTTCTCGATCTTTATCCTTGTTTGCATCCACCAAGTGTGGGCATATCCTTCGAATTTCATGGTGATGAGGGGAACTTGTTCAGCTTGGGGGCAGTCATGGTATACTAACATGAGATCAACTTTTCCTTCCCAATCGATGTACTTGTCTGGATCGTTGTCTCATTTGAAAGTCGGGATCGTGAACTTTGGTTTTGCAAAGAGTTTGGGTGCTTGGAAACGTGGTTGTTCGTCTGGGTCCCAAATGTTTATCATTGTTTGGTCTTGGATTCTGGTTTGGTAGATTTATTTGTGGTTCTTATAATTCTCTCACGATATTGTTAAGTTTATCAAATCTTTTAATTTGAGTCGTGAGTCGTGAAAGTGCGGCTAAGATAGTCGTAAGTGTGTTGTTGTTATTGTTGCCCATCCTAAAATCATAACACTCAAAAGAAAATTTTAAAGTAAAATAAAAAAGAAAAGAAAATTCAACAAAACAAGAAAGCTCACAAGTCACTCCAAGAAAGTAACACCGTGAGAGGCAAGTAAGACGATCTTGTACTATTTAAAACTCACTTTACCAAGTAGTCTTCCACAGTTCGTATCAGAGTCTGATTACTAGCAAAGGCGATAAGGAAACCTAAAAGCTCTAAGAGGCCAAACAAGGTTTAGACTCCAAGATAACGAGAATGCAAAGAATGAAGAAGTATGCAAACTCTTTAGTCCTACTAACACAAGAAAGATAATGTGTTAGATAATGCAAAAGAACAATAAAAAGGAAAACAAAAGAACCTAAAGCACTAAGAGTCAAAGAAAAAAAGCCAAACCAGAAACCTAGAAAACACTGGGTCAAATTGAGAAACGTTTTTGAGGGGGTTACCAGTGTCTAAAAATTTTGGAAAATTTCTTGAATGTCTTTCGATGAGTCTAGAAACCACCTGTAAAATTTTAGAACCAAATATCTTCAGTAGTATCCAATAGACTATGTTGAACGATGGGTCCTCAAACAATCTTTTTTTTGTGATCTCTTTGTTCGAAGCTGTTTTTATCTCTAAAAATTCAGATTTTTTTGTGAATGATCTTCAATATATTTAGTTTCAATCTGGAAATTTTTACCACAAAATTCCTCATGTAGAATTTTCAAGAAATTCGACAAGATTCTAGACCGAATATGCCAATGAAACTTGAATGATGTATTTGAAGGGTCTAATGAACTCCGATTGGGGTGAATTTTGGATTAGAGATTACTCTTAGGATTAATATGAGATCTAGAGAAAATAAGCCCTAAATTCTTTTGTTTGCATTTTTTGAATTTTTGCAATTTTTTCAACTCTTTTTTTTTAAAAAAATAACAGGAAGGATTTGATTCTAAATTAAAATTAAATAAAAAAACCTAAAACGATGAATCTTTTGCGAACTAGATCCGTTGGGATACCTTGATGGTTTTGTGTGAAAGAACAAGAAAGATTGCTTGCTTCTTTCCAAGAATCAACCCAAATATGATACCAATTGATAGGGAAGAGGTGGCGGATTAATGAACGTTGCTCATGTTGAAGAATCAAACCTGGAAAACTCTAGACTCATTGAAGAATAAAGGAGGATGAATAGTAGAAGGTGGCTCCCTTATGAAGATGAACGGTAAAGATGATGATGGTGAGAATGGATTTGTGGAAAATAGATGGATAAGTGTCCTATCTAATCCTCCTAGTCGCAAAAGGCAAACTCGATAATATGACTCTAACCAACCCTTCTAGTCGTTATGAAAAGGTAAATTGTAGTGTGAAGATTAATCTCCTTCATAAGAACTTGAAAGAACTCCAGGAGAAGAAGTTTCGAAGGCACAAGGCAATTAGTACTTGCAAAAACGAACTCTCGTTGTATTATTAAGCAAAGAAATCTTTTTTAAAAAGTTGAATGAAGCCTCCTTTATATAGGGGTTGGGTTCTAAATGCCCTAAATAACTAATGAATAAAATAATAATAAACTAAACATGTCTTAACTCTATTTCCTAATAAAATAATAATAATAACTAAAAATAATGTTTTAACTCAACCTTAATTCTTAATAAAATAATAAATATAATCCTAAAAGATAATGAATCATCCTATATTAAATTATATTACAAATAATCAATATAAATATTGAAAATTAGTAATATTTACAAAAATCACGTATTAATCTCGTATAGGAATTTATGTATGTGATGTCTTCACTAAAATGAACGTATCTTGAGTTCCCGATATCGGATTGACACGATTTAAGACTGTTGGAAATATAAGAGACAGACGGTTGTATATACATAAGACATGTTGACCAAATAAGATCAGGATCCCATTCAAAAAGTCATCGTAAGTCTACTACTGTTATGATCTTCTTTTCCAAGGCTTAGACAGGTGGATCATTTGGAAGAGTTATTACTTCTTCCTTTGATGTGAGCCTTGTGATGCATGTATCATCCTCCCTTTCTTCAAAAAGATTCGACCTCGAATCTGAAACATTAAAGGGAGCAACATTAGAATCGTTTAATAATCCATTCACATCATGCTTACCAAATATATATATGCTTTGAATCTTCGAGACTTTGTTCTTCTAATTGGTTCGATTAGAAACATTAGTCCAAAGAAGCATGTATTATGGACTCTGGTGCATGTATCATTTGCGAAGCTCAATTCTAAATCGTGAGAATTGAGTCTTGTTCTTCATAACTTCGGATAGCATTTTTCGGTTCTTTGGAAATTAAGAGTGGCAATTGATCATTCCTTTAAAGTTACTACATATTCAATCCAAAAAGACGTCGTTGGCTTGAAAGTTGTTTTGGCTTACAGTTGAGAAGATGGATCAGTTGGTTGTAATTTAGCTTCCTGTGAACAAACTTAGCGACGGTCTGTTAAGGGAAATCAAGATCCCAGCAAGGATAAGATTTTAGAGATAGACTTGGAAATTTCGGTTAACTCAAGAGAATAGTTAGTTGCGGAGGTTGAGCTTCATTAACTGTAACCGACATGCATCAAGGAGAGAAAATATATTTCGATGATCGATCAAAATTGATGTTAAACAAAGTCTAAGGCTATATCATCTCAATTAAATTCTTCTATATTATTTACTTATTTACTTTCTCATTATTTATTTATTATTTATTTTTATTATTTTATTATTTTCATTATTTCTAAATCCTCCATATTTATTTTTGCAGTTTAAACCAAATGATCAAAATAAGTAAATTTTTCAGACTTCTTTAATCCCTATGGATCGACTTCTACTTCTTTATACTACTTACATTATTTATTTGATATTAGAGTATTTATTTATTTGACAAATTCAACGCTTGTGAAAGGGCTCTAACAGATGTAGGAAGCTACAACAATGGCGTATGCGATAGCCAACGTGAGTATTGTTCTCCGATAAAATAAGAAAACGACAACTAGGACCATGACCGTGGACTAGTCAAAATGACTTTAAAGACCTGAGGGTTTTAAATCAAGTCGTAACGTCGTCGAAGGATTTAAAGCTACGTCATAATACCGTTTAACCATTGAGTGAAAAAAAATCTAATATATAAAATTTAATCTATAAATTAAAATAAATAAAAGTACAATAAGTTAAATAGGGGTGAGAATAAATTTCAATAAATAAATTTATAATTTACCCTAAATAATAATTTTTATAAAACCGACTAAATTGATAAGATCTAAGATGAAGCTCCAATTGAATAGATCGATCAAGCTGTTAGAGTGGCGGACTACAAAATTCCCAAATCTCCAAATCTCGAAGAATTAGGGTTTGCGAGCATGAAGAAACCCCAACCCTCGTCCTCAATTTATTCTTCTTCGGCAGAAACCATAGCCCACAATCAGGACCTCCTCACCGAAATCCTCATAAGAATCCCTTCAAAACATCTCCTCAAACTTAAACTCATCTCAAAACAATGGTGTTCCCTCATCTCCAGCCTCCAATTCTCTCATTACCACTCCCTTCACCACCAAAACCGAGGCTTTCTGACCCCAACAGCTCTCTTCCTAGGCATCGGAAACTATTACCGACCACCCTTTGAATTACCCGCCCTTCCCTTAAACCCTGAAACCAGAGTTCCCCTCTTGGATTTCATTGCCGACCCACACTTCAAGATCCTCCAATCATGCAATGGCTTGCTCTTGGGTCATTTCTATTACAATATCAATGAAGGGTTGAGGTATTTCATCTGTAATCCTACTACCCGTAAGTTCAAAATGATATCTTTGCCTGTTTCACAATTGGGTTCTTTGCGTGCCGTTAATTTAGCATTTGATCCTGTTAAATCACCTTATTATAAGATCATTTGCGTGAGGAAATTGCTTTCTACAAATAAAAGGTTTGGTCTGTATATATATTCATCCAAGTCTGATGAATGGGATTCTTCTTGGATTAGCTTTCGAGCCAACGAGTACATAAGGTTTGACCATGGAGTTTTCTTTAATGGGATATTTCATTGGAATAGTAATGGTCGGAATTCTTTGCGGTTTGATTTGGAGAATAAAGTGTTAAAGAAAATGCCAATGTTGGCTCCTATGTTTCAAGCTCCCGAATCATCAGAGGACGAAGATAGTCGATATTTCGGGGAGTCTCGGGGCCATTTGCATCTTGGAGTTACATATATGCCACTTTGTTTTAAATTTAACATCTTTGAGATGGCGGCTGATTATTCCCATTGGTTCCATAAATACTGTCTGAACCTGGATGATACAATGAAAGCTTTCCCTGACTTGAGGTTTCCTGTTGTGGATATCTATTATGGATTCCATGTTTTATCTGTTATCCGATCCGAAGGTGAAGAGTCTAAAGTTGTGATTCTTGTGGATTATAAAGCAATTTGTTATGACCTAAAGGATGGAATTTTGTTAAATGTACATGAGCTGAAGCAGTGTGCTGAGACTCTCAATCGTTGTCCATTGAACTATATTGGGATTCAAGTCTATCAATATTTTGAGACCCTCTCTTGTGTTTGAGGGTCCTAACACTCTTTAACTTAAACTAGAAATCTGGCTTGATCGGATGGGAACCACATTTCTCAGGTCTTATTTAGTAAATAATCTACTTATTATGTTGTATGCTTACCATTGTGCCTGCATAAACTTTTCTGCAGTTATAGGAGTTTGGGCTATAGCATGCTCATAACCGAGGAATTTTTACCTGTATCAAGTGAAATTAGCAATCTAGTTTGCCTGTTCATTTTTACTAATTTCAATGGTCTTTGCTTCTCTTAAACAATACATACTGTATTCCTTCCGCACCTCTTGTTTATCTGGTTAATGTTTTTTCATATATGGTTCAGAATTTCTTGTTTGACTTCTAAGATCTTTAAGCATAGTCAATTAATCATCGGATCATCTTTCAACTTGTGGAAGAAACAGAAAGACATTGAGATTTAAGTTTGTTGAAATGGTAGATAAGGTAGAGTTGTGGCGATGATGATGTCCCTGTATAAACCTAGGAATTTATCTCATGCTAAGCATGAGTTTCTGTATGAAATCATTTCTCAACTGAAACTTGTGCGCCCCTTGAATTACCACTGTTATGATTCAGATCAGTACCAAAGCCTTTTTTTCTAGCATTCATTTACTCAATCGAACTAATGCTGGGCAAAAGCCTGCATCAACATGACCTTATCCTCTAAACCCGACTCGGGGTTAAGGTGATTTCACCCGACTCAAAACTTGACTTGCCTTTTGAGATAAAATTTGAACCTGATTTGACCAATGCAAATATATTTATAAAAATTCTTAATTTTATTCGATAAAATAAGGTTTTAATTGAAAAAATATATATAGAGATGAGTATTATTACAATTATCTCTAAATATATAAGGTATAATTACATTATATTTTAGGTCGGGTTAAGTCAAATATATTTCACCTTAAATTCGAACTCGTTTGAACTTCCAAATTCAAACATTTTTAAAAGATCCGACTCAATAAAATTGGATTAGATTCGAATCAGTTATTCTAGTAGGATGAGATACTAGATTCCTTAAGCAATATTATGGGTTCGAACCTAGTGTTTACAGATGGAGCAAATTGGGTTGGGATGATCGTCTTCCCCTCTACAATACTCAATTTGGATTAATCGATCAATAGATCGTATATCAGTAATTAATTCAAAAAAATCAATAAAAAAATTTTAAAAAATTAAAAAATAGTTCTTTTATTTAAATATCGAGTTTTTAAGATTTTTTATCTTTTGGAATTTTCAATATTTTTGTTTCCGTTTTACACGTGGCCAAAATATGATTGGGTTACATCACATTTTCAATAGAAAAATGTCGAACAGCCAACGTGTGTGGAGTATGGACGAAATGAAGGTTAAAGGGGTTAAATTGATTGAAAAAATAATAACAAAAAGCTAAAGTAAAATTTTCAGTAAAGTTGAGGGGTATTGTAAGTATTAAGCCTTTATAAAAGTAACATAAATTCTAGGATCCCTTGCTATAGCCAAAGTTGAAGTCAGGTATGGTCCTTTTAAAATGATGAGATTATACTTGAGTTCCTCTAAAACTTTTAGAATTATAATTTATATGGTAAAATTGTATCTTGATCTTTGTTAAAATAATAAAATTTTGATTTAATCCTTCTAAAAAATATAAAATTAAAAGTCAATAAAATAATAGAATTATATTTTAACTCTTTTAAAAAATTATAATTCAAATTTAATCATAATTTTTTATTGTACCTTTTAGGAAGAGTCTACAACGTACAAGACACATCGTAACACACCACTAATAAAATTGTCTTTATTATGTAAATATTAAAAAGTATAATAATTTATTTAAAATTAATCATTTATTAAAATATAATTTTAATTTTAATAGAATTATAATTAAATTATGATTTTTATTAAAAATAATAATTAATTTAATTGATTTAAAATTAAAATATTTAACTTATATAAATTTAGGGTTCACCATTCACTGTCGGTGATTATCTTGTCTCGTCGAAAAATCGTTTTATGCTTGGTTTAGAATCGCGACTCACCTGCCGCTTCTCCCAACTTATATAAATTCTATCGCGAGTCATCTAAAAAATCCCTGATAATTAAGTTGTTTACTTATCAACCATCTTTTTCTAATGATCAAATTCGGTTACTAGTCCTCATACTATTAGAAAATTATACATTTAATTCTTATACTCTTATTTAATCTATTTTAGTCCATATACTTTTTAAATGTTCAATTCTGAGTCAAATAATTCAAGGACAATATAATTGAATTATTGGGGCTGATTAAAATAATGTACTTGGAGAACTTGAACTAAATCTATAATTTACATGTAATATCAGACTAACAACATGATTTAATTTAACATATTTCATAGTTACTGTTTGAATACGCACCAAAGTTTTAAAATTTGATCAAACTATAATAGAAGGACCAAATCATCAACTTTTGTATGGTACAATAACTGATAGAATAATTTGGTTTTTTTAATCATTTATTTGAAGTTCCACAATATATATATATATATATATATATATGTATAAGTATAATTAAATGGTGTAAATTGATCCGTAGTACTAACTAAATTATAACTAATTTTGACAGAATATAGTTTCAGTAAAGGAAAGGCAGCACCTTTTTTTAGCTTTTCTTGCCTCCTTCCTATTTTCAAGTTCAGTACGACTAACAAACTTCCTGCTGAAACTTCAATTCTCATTCATACAAATATGTTCATACATTATAGTTACATAATTTAACAATCCCATAAAACAAATCTTCCATTATTTTTTGTTTTCTCGTGAAACGAACAAATCAAAACAGAAAAAAAAAACAATATTTTTGTTGTAATGCATGTTTAAAAAGGCTGGTAGGTAATTGAAAGTGAAGCAGAAGATTGGGTTGGCCTTTGGGTATCCTTTTACTGAGAACCAAAGCCATAGGAGAGTGATAAAGGAAGAAACTTTTCGAGAGAGAAACAATGGGAGGAGGAGGGGGAGGAGAAGACGAAGCATCGTTGGAGTACACTCCAACATGGGTTATAGCAGTAGTTTGTTTTGTGATTATTGCAATTTCTTTTGCTATGGAACGTTTGCTTCATCATTTAGGGGATGTTTTGAAGGAGAAACAACAGAAACCACTCTACGAGGCTCTTTTGAAAGTCTAGGAAGGTAACCCTTTTTTTTAATGTGTTTCCATTGGGAAATTCTTTTGTTGTTTCCAAAATTGTAACATTGAAGCGTTGGATTTTGGGGTTTTTTTGTTGGCAGAGTTGATGCTCTTGGGGTTTATATCACTGTTGTTGACAGCATTTCAGAGTGCAATTTCTAAAATTTGCATGTCAAAGGATCTACGTAAAGACATGCTTCCTTGTAAAGTTAACCACCATGATGATGATGATGATGATGATGAGGCCGGCCATAACGGTTCCAAATTGGAAATCTATTTTGCTTCTGGCACTCGACACCTACTGAGCGCAGATTCATCAAATGCGGCCGGATACTTCAGTTCCCAGGTAATATATAATCAAACATAACCAAATAAAATGGCCTTTTTACTGTTATTCATGCTTGATATTGCCTAGGGTTGTTTCTTTACTTGCTGAAACGAGGAAAAACAATTCTTTTGTCATAGGTTACATAGGAATTCATGGTTAAAGTATTAGTATGGTTTAGGATCAAATGTATGACCTTTCTTATTTAATACATTACTGCAGTTTCTGGCTCCTTTTTTTCATTGAAAAGCCAGAAACTTTGATTGATGTACTCTTAATCTCTCTTACCATTTCCATATATTTTTTGTTCTTTAGAATAAAGTACCATTGATGTCGATTCCGGCTCTTCATCATCTACATATTTTTATCTTCGTCCTGGCCATTGCCCATGTCACGTTCTGTGTTCTCACAGTTTCTTTTGGAGGGCTTAAGGTAATCTATCTAATATATATACATGTATTTATAATTTGCTTAATTTTCAACTTTTGGAGGGCTAAAGGATGTTGTTTGTTGATGTAGATACAAAAATGGAAACAATGGGAAGATGATATTGCAAAAGAGCATTATGATTTAGAGAGACGTAAGGATTAATACTAATCTAAATGCTTCCTGTTTTGTCCATGATATCTTTTCATTATTCAATGCACATTAGGACCTGCACATCTGGAATGCTGGTCACTACTTATCTATGTTGGTCCAACTTTTTTTATTCTCTTGAAGTACCCATTTCCAACACATTCCCAAACATGGATATCGATCTACTGTGTTAAGACTCGTGTTAGTGTACGATGTTCACATCCATGTGTCTCGACTCTCGAGTAATATAGCTTATGACAGACTATGCAACATATGTCTGCTGTAAAGTGATCTGCTGGTTCGTTTTCTTTTTCTTTGGTGCTTCTGATTTGTACATTGTGTAATTGCAGAGTTGGAGAAAAAGTTCATTCATGTCCAGCAGCATGATTTTATCAAACATCGTTTTCAGGGTTTCGGTAAACGTTCAGTTCCTCTAGGGTTGTTGGTAAGCTTCTATTTAATCCATGATACATTCTTTTTACCATTAACAACTATAACAACTGAACCTAATATGAAAGAGGTAGACCTTGGAATTCCTTCTATGTTACTTAAGACTCGGGTGTGTTCAATTTTCCCCAAGTTTTTCCATGTCTTTGGAGGGTCTTTGAAAGACCATATTCAATACCCCTGTCCGAAAATATGAACATATTCGTGTCCGGCACTCAAATCCCGAGAAACATAGAAGAGAACTGCAATACAGTAAGAAGTGATGCTGTGCCTCGTGAAGTTTCTAGTTCTGATCTGGTCTTACTTTTCCTTTATTTTTTAAAAATACAATTGAAACACAAGTTCTGTATGCTTTTTCTAACAATGACTCTAATCTTCTTCCTAGTCATCGTTTTTCAAGCAATTCCATGCATCTGTTACCAAAGCCGATTACGAGGCACTAAGGCTAGGTTTCATCATGGTAAGCTATCTGTGGAAAACTGGTTTCTCTCGAACGACTCTCTTACGGTTGTGTTGTCATTCCTTGACATAGTCAGTCATCAATACTTGTCATTTATATTTGCAGACCCATTGCAAAGGGAATCCCAAGTTTAATTTTCACAAATACATGATACGAGCCTTGGAAGATGATTTTAAGGAAGTTGTTGGTATAAGGCAAGTCATATTTGAGAGTATATTTCTGAAGATTTATGTCTCGTGGCCTCATTTTTTACTTCAAATCGTGCTTAGTTTCTTTTGCTTTTCTGCAGTTGGTATCTCTGGGCGTTCGTGATCATCTTCTTGTTGCTGAATGTTAATGGTATGGAATATCGATTGCTGTGGATCGTTCTGTTTTGCTTCAATGGCATGTAATAGATGTTATTTTTTCAGATTACCAAGCATTAAAGCTCCATAATGATGGACTGTGTATCGATTTTCTTCTGCAGGATGGTATACATATTTCTGGATAGCTTTCATTCCTTTCATTGTGAGTAGTTACAATACAGTTTCTTAAACACACATGCACCAAAGTAAACACATCCATTTACAGAAAAACAGGACTGAATGTTTTAAATCAATTTCAAATTGAAGAAACTAAAAGTCGCTCGAAAGGATCGATTCATATTCTTGTAAATCTTCCTATATCTGACACATATCCGGATTTGGATATGAGATATGATCCTTATTTTCTCTACATTTTTGTTTTGCTAGCTTCTTCTTGCTGTGGGGACCAAGATGGAGCATGTGATTACCAGTTTGGCTCATGATGTTGCTGAGAAACATGTAGCCATTGAAGGGGAATTAGTGGTAAGACCATCAGATGAGCTCTTTTGGTTCGACAATCCTCGTCTGGTTCTCAAGTTGATCCATTTTATCCTCTTCCAAAATGCTTTCGAGATTGCGTTTTTCTTTTGGATTTGGGTAAGCTTAAACTTTTGGGTCACAATTCTGCAATATGAAGTACAGTGTAAGTAATCCGGATGAACATAATGAAATTTTCTTCATCATCTGTAGGTTCAATTCGGGTTCGAATCGTGCCTAATGGGTAAACTTTATTATATCATTCCAAAGCTTACCATAGGGTAAAAATCAATGACCATTTCCTTTAATTTGTGCATTTTTTCCCCGAGTTCCCAACCTTTGATCTTATAATGATTCCTACAGGATGTTCATTCAAGTCGTCTGTAGTTACAGTACCCTGCCACTTTATGCCATCGTCGCACAGGTTAGTCGAGTTTCTCGCATGTTTATTTGAGTTTTCATAATCCGAACTCCGATTTACTTGCTTTTTTTACTGAATTGAAGATGGCAAGCTCATTCAACAAGGCAATATTTGATGACCATGTGCAAGCGAGTCTTCTTGGTTGGGCAAAGAAGGTGAAGAAAAAGCAGGCCCTAAAGCTTGCGACTCAAGCAAAGCCCTCGGAAAGCCCTTTCATGTCAATGCAGATAGTGGAGGATGCTAAATCCGATGCTTCTTCCGCGAAGGAGGATGATCCTGAAAAGGGTTCCAATGATGCGAAATGAGTGTTGCCGACGGGGTAATAAAACCGTGCCTCACCGCGACCGGGTGCTGGTTTTAAGGAACCATTTATCATGTAAATGGCATTGCTTATGTGTTTACCAAGAAAAAGAAAATTCAGTTACTGTTAGTTCTTATTGTTTTGTTTATCTTTTAGATTTAAACTTTTTATTTTAATTATCCAATCGATCTTCTCAAATGCATTTTAAAAAGTTCATTGTTCCCAAAGAAAAGACCAGAAACCTTGCTATGAAAACAAATGCAAGCTGTATAAGATTTAAGAGTAAAGTACACAAATGATCCTTAGATTATAGGGTGTTGTTTTATTGAGTCCTTTGAGTATTAAAAGTTATAAAATAGTCTCATACTATAAAATGTTGTTTTGTTGAGTCTCCAACTGTTAAAAGTTATAAAATGGTCACACAACTATTCATATATTCTAAAATAGTCATTTTCTATTAAAAAATTGATGTCTATCTGAGCTGGACATTAATCTGCTGACTAAAATATGGTAAAATTATATTTAAATGATGTCTACTGGAACTATCGTTGTTTTCAAGCACTGACTTGTCATCATAATGTTTCAAGCACTAGCTCAATGATATAGTGTAAATAGAGATTTAATCCATAAAATACAACTAAAACGATTTTGTGATCATAATTTATCATATCTCAGTGAACAAGTTAACATCCATCTCAGACGGCCACCTTTAATAGAAAAGGATGAATTTAGAACAAATGAATAGTCGGGTGACCATTTTGTAACTTTTAATTGTTCGAAAGACTCAACAAAGTAATATCCTATAATAGAGGAACTATTTTATAATATTTAATAGTCAAGGGACTTAACAAAGTAACACCCTATAGTCAGTTAAATTAAAGGTACATAAAATCATGAGCCAAATAAGGGTACTTAAACTTTTTTTGGGATAAATTATAGCGTTCATCGATTTTATTTCTCTATTTTAATCAATCAAATTATATTTAAATGTAAAATCATAGTTGATATTATGTTTTTTAAATTTTGTTATTACTATTAAAAACTTAACAATAATGTTAATAATGTTGATGTAATTTTTTTTAAAGCTGTTCAATAAAATAGTTGGACAAAAAAAGTACATTAAAATTTGGACAAAACTAATATCTAACTTAAATTCTATACGACCTTAAAAATAGCAAAATTACTACCAAGAAGAATCGAACACAAAACACATTACAAAGGGACCTTATGCTTAACCACTAAGCTAAGTGAAAAATATGCATTTAAGTTAAACTAAAAGAAAAGTATTCATAGTTATTCTTCAATTTTAATCATAGTTTAAATTAAATATATGTTTGGTTAAAATTTTAACAATTATAATTAGCAGAGTTGGTTCAAGTGATAAACAACTTCTCGCTTAAGGATATCTCGAATTCGAGGCTTTGTGTATGCAGAAAATACCAATTGAGAGACTCACTCATCAAAATCAAGTGTGTGACACAAGCCGATCTGGATTAGTCAGAACAAAAGTCTAAAAATCCGAAAAGGCAACAAAAAAAATTTATCAATAATATAATTTGGTTCAATAGTGAAACATTAGTCTTTCTTCACCGGTATCCCACTTTGATTCCTTTTATTATCTATTTTACATAATTTGTAATCACTAATGTTTTAGTTAAGTTTTTATTTTTATGAATAAAATTTGAAAAGTTATATTATAATCATTAATTGAGTTAATTGTATCATATGTCCCTAAATTATAATCTTCATTTTAAATTGGTTCTTAAATTTTTGAATATTTCAATTTCATCCCCAATCTATGAATCTCATTCTAAATTTGTCTTTAAACTTTTAAATATTCTAATTTTATCCCTAAACTATGACCATCTTTCTAAATTGTTTCCCGAATTTTTGAATGTTCCAATTTCATCCCCAAATTCATCAAAATATATAATTAGTTTCAACCATAGTTCAACCTAAATTTTGTTTATTTCAAACATATATTAATATAACTTGGCCTAACGATTTTATTAACAAGGGGTGTGACTAGCATATACATATAGTTTGGGAAAAAATTGAAATGTTCAAAAAGTTTGGGAATGAGATTGAAATGTTCAAAAGTTTGGGGGACCAATTTAGAAAGAGGGTCATAATTTGAGGATACAATTGAAATATTTAAAAGTTTAAGGACCAATTTAAAATGAGTATAATTCTTTGAGGACATATAATGCAATTAAATCTCATTACTACGGAGTATCAATTTATCTCAAAATGTCATTGTGTCATTAACTCCTAAATTAATGGCATAGCTTGTTAATAAAAGGATTAATATCTAATTTGAGTCCTACACTATTTAATTTTATCATTTAACAATTTTTTAAACTACATTTCTTTAGATTTTTTTTTTAAAAAAAAGCTGAATTAAATTAATTGTTTGTATTATTAAAACAATGAAATGAATTAAATAAAAATATTTCTTCCATCGCAAACTCATGAAACATGTACAAATTTCTTGCGAGGGTCCTTGCTAAGCTCCTTTCGTTGTGCATTGACGAAGTCATTGGCGATTCTCAATTCGCATTCACTCCTGGCAAAGAAAATCTGGATTGCGCTCTTATTGCTAATGAAGTGGTTGACATGGTTATTATTTTTAAAGTCGATTTTGAAAAGCCTATGACACTTCTTGATTGATCCTTCGTGATCTTTATGATGAGAAGAATGGGTTTTGGCTCTAAATGGATCAAATGGATGAGAGTTTGTTTCTCTACAGCCTCAATTTCAGTTCTGGTCAACATTCTCTCTCGGCCTTTTTCCGCCTTAAAAGGGGCTTAAGACAAGGCTGTCCATTGTTGCCTCTCTTTTTTAACATTGTTGTCGAAGGCCTTAATTTGGCTTTGAAGAAGGCAGTAAATATTGGCCTCTTTAATGGTATTTCTCTTGGTGGGGGCTTTCGATATCACACCCTCAATTTGCCGATGACTTAATCATCTTTGCAAAGGCTGATGTGCCCCAAGTTAAAAATATCAAGAGAGTCCTTAGATCATTCGAGCTGATTGCGGGGTTGAAACTTAATTAAAAGAAGATGAACTTGTTTGGAGTTAATATCTCTGAGGAGATGTTGAATTCGTTATCAACTTCTATTGGTTGCTGCAAGGGGTCTTTTCCATCGAGTTATTTGGGTATTCCATTAGGAGCAGTTGCAAATAACACCTCAATTTAGAGGCCGGTTGTTGACAAGTTTAAGAACATGCTTACTAGTTGGAAGGATCAAACATTGTCTTCTGGGGTAAGCTGATGTGTTGAATAATCTCTCTATCTACTACCTATCTTTATTTCAAATGCCTTCTTCCATCAGCTCTTCTTTAAACAAGATGACTGCAAAATTCATTTGGGTTAAGGTTGATGAAAGAACAATTTATTAGGTAAAGTGCGAGGATATGTGCAAACCATTAGCGGGGGGAGGTTTAGGCCTTGTTGACATAAGGACTAAGAATCGTGCTCTCTTGAATAAATGGATATAGCGACTGTCTTTGGAAGAAAGTCATTTGTGCTAGAAATAATCAATCTACAAACTCGTTGTTGCCAAAAGCCACTGTGAATAGACAATCCTCTTGGGTGTGGAAATCAATTGTCAAACCAATATTATCGAATTATTCAGTATTTGTCAATAATCTTCGTCCTGTGTTGGGTGATGGAAAACTTTTAGATTTCTGGACTGATTCATGGACTGGTGAGTCTCCTCTTAAAGATCTCTTTCCCCAAATTTTCTATTTGGCTACAAAGAAGAATGGGAAAGTCTGTATCAAATGACTCTTGGAAATGGTTGATTCCTTTAAAGAGGCGTCTTTTTTATTGGGATAATTTCCTTGGTCTATTGAATAGTTTTTCGGTCAAGAGCTCTGGTCCGGACACCTAAAGACGGCAGGTAAATTCGAAAGAGATATATAATTGGAAGCAGTTTTGTGATATTTCTGCTTCCCCTGCCTTGTTTGAGGATAAAGTTTGGGAAGCTGTTTGGGTTAAGTTTATCCCCCCTAAAGTCTAGTTCTTTTCTTGGAGATTGCTTCTAGGTAGATTGCCTTCAAAGTCAGAACTCTGCCCCCTTTGCAAAGCTGTTGAAGAAACTGTCGCTCACTTGTTCTGTCACCGCTCGGTGTCGTGGAGGCTTTGGCTTCGCTGCTGTAAATTTTGGAATGTTCGTTTAGTTATGCCTAAGGACCTGAAATCTTTTGTGCACTCGTGGTTAAACTGCCATGTTTGTTCCGCTTCTTTTCCAGTATGGTTGGTGGCGCTCCACGGGTTAGCCTGGTCGATTAGGTTGTATCCTAAGGAGGTGGTCTTTAACGGTGAACCTGTCCATGAAAAACAAATTTTTGATATCTTCGTTGCCAGGATTGCCTGGTGGCGTAAGAGTAATTGGCCCGATTAGATTATATCCGTGAACAATTTTATTAAAGATCCTACGATGATTTCGATTGATAATGCCTTTAAAAAGAAATTCTCACGAGGACTCTCTTTTTTGGTTCATATTGCTCTGGTTTCTAGGATTCTTTTGTGCTCAGATCAGTTTGTCCTGCGTGTTGGAGCATAGGGAGAGCGGTTTCTTGGGGTTCATGAATTTGGTTGCTGCCTTGGGCAATTGGGTGCTTTATGTTGTCTTGTTGTGCAGGATCGTGGCTGTTTCATTCCCATTGGGTATGTTTCGACTTAGTTTATGTATTTCTCGATTTGGGATGTTGCTACCTGGGTTGTTTTGCTGCCATTTTTCGGCTTAGTCTCTGCATTCTTTCATTTCAAGTGGGGTTCTGCTTTATTCTATTATGGTCTGATTTGAGGTCCACAATGGGGTCTTGGTTGTTCGTGGATGCTCCCTTCAATCCGAGGTTGTTTCATTGTTGTAGTGAGTGTTTTTTTTATTTGATTGTTAGGGTTGGGTTGATGCAGTAAATTGGATAGTTCACTGTAGCTCCCTAATTTTAATGCTATGTGTGGTTTTGAAAAATTTAGGTGCTGACTGGTTTATACAACCAAATTTTTAGTTTTATTAATTTTAGCACTAACATCTATTTTTAAGTGCGATTATATTTCTTCGTTGTTAATGATTTAACGAGACGATAATATGACAGCTACAGACCGTGACGTTAATGATATGGTTGTCTCATCAAAACGACGTCGTTTTGACGAGATTATTTTAATGTTCAAAAAGTCCAAAAGACATCATTTTGTTAGAGTTACTTTATGAAAAAAATGATTTCGTAAGACTCTAACCAAAAGGCCATTAGGAACTAAGGCTAAACACCCAATCACCAAACTAACTCAATAACTTGTTATATTCCTAACAAAATTAATATATATATTAAATATCAGTTTGGATTAATATCATTTATTTAATATCACTTTTATAATTATATTATTTTATAAATACGTGTTAGATTATCGAAGTGACTTTAAAAATTATAAGCACTCATCCCTATTTATTATGTAAGAAATTATTCGATTTCGAACTTCAAATTTTAAGCTTTATTCAATAACGATTAAGTTGAATATAAATTTTAGGATAAATTATGTGTTTAGTACTTAAACCATCAATTATGATATGTTTTAGTACATAAACTTTCAATTTTTTTAAAATCATATTTAACGTTTTGGTTTTGTTTCATTTTAGTACCCACTGTTAAAAATTTAACGCGTTTAGTACCTAAACTATTAATTTTTATCCGTTTTAGTACCTAAACTTTTTAAAAAATCAAAACATAACGTTACGTTTTTAACGAGTACTAAAGTGAAACAAAAACTAAATGTTAGGTATGATTTTAAAAAATTGAAATATTAGGTATTAAAACGAACAAAAACTGATTGTTTAGGTATTAAACGAGTAGTTTAACCTAAATTTTATTAAACAAATTAACAACACTGACTTAAAAAGCAAAATTTGAAAGTTTTGTGGCTTAGATTGAAATTATTATAATCAGATGAGCAAAATAAAAGGGTCGATTCAACTGAACCCGAACCCATCCAAGTATCACCATAAACACATCTTGTTCGTATATAAGAGTTTCTCAAATCTGCAAAACCACATTAAACCCTAAATCCTGAAATGCTTCACTAAAGTTAAAAGCTTTTGGAGTAGATTCAATCAACTCATTAAACCTTAGCTTCTTCCCACTTCGAATCTTTTCTTTTGAATAAAAATGACCATCCATTCGGTTGTAATCCAAAAACTCTTAACAACAAATGCTCACATCGGCCGTCAAGTTGCTACCCACCATTTCAAACAATTTACCTACGGCTTCCGAAACAGACAAGCCATTATCGATTCCGACAAGACCCTGATCTGTCTCCGCAATGCTCTCAACTTCCTCTCCTACCTCTCGCGTGATCCGTCTTCCTCTTTCCTCTTCATCAACACTAACCCACTTTTCCAACCCATTATCGACGAGATGACGACCAGAGTCTCGAGCTTAAGCCCCGAGAGGGCTAGCAGTCTCTGGAGATTGCGTGGGTTTTTGACCAACAGTTTTAGTCCAAAGAAGTTTCGGTCTAGGAACAAGAAACTGGTTTTTGCGCCTACCAAGATGCCGGATTGTGTTGTGATTTTCGATACCGAGAGGAAAAGTTCGGTCTTTTTGGAAGCGGAAAGGTTGGGGATTCCGATAGTTGCCTTGGTTGATTCAAGTATGCCGTGGGAGTATTATAAGAAGGTTACTTATCCGATACCGGCTAATGATTCTGTCCAGTTCGTTTATTTGGTGTGTAATATGATCACTAAGTGTCTTATGTTGGAGGAGAAGAAGAAAGATGGGGCAAAGGGGATTCGGACGAAGGCTACCAACGAGTATGTTTTTCTTGGTTTGAAATTTTAATGTTTTGAGCTTTGATAGCAATTTGAATGCTTTGACTAGGTGGAACTCTTTATTTTGGGATAGAATGTGGTTGATTGGATTTTGTCTTTCCGGGCTTTCTGATTAGGTGGAACATCGGTTTGGATGGAAATGTTTTGTGCTTTAGAGTTTGGCTACTGAAATGTGGATTCTACAGAAATGAGAATCACGTATGTTGAGATTTGAATCCTCTGTTTTTTTTTTATAGAAGATGGATATGGAGCTTGAGTGAGTTTTATCTCTGATCTGTGTACTCTGTAACCAAAATCGATTATATAAAGCATAGGCTTAAGATGTGGATTGGATGCTGATATTATTGATTTAACTAGAGAAGAAGTAAGAAACCAACTAAGTTTTTTGGTGGTTATTGTTATAAGTTAGGATGTGCATGATTGATGATTTAAGAGATTTGGGGTTGTGATGAGTTTCTCAATATGTTGAAGGCATAATTTTGAGTTATTACTATGTAGTTCCTTCCTTAAGTAGCTTGGTTGAGGATTTTCTTTCAGAGAGAATATAGATTTTTGGTTTGATTGGTTTATTTCTTATTTTCTGCTGTCTGTTTCAAATTCTTACTGAGAAGTTTGTCTATTTGATATGAGTTGAGTGTTCATGGTTTGCCTTTGCGCTGTTTCATCTGCTCTTTGGTTCTATATTGGTATTATTTCCAATTTTTTGGTTAACATGAAATCTAATATTTATTAAAGGGACAAAGTAGAGAGCATAGGTGAGAGCGAGGGAACTGCAAGTGATGAAGTGCTTGTTGTTCCTTATGACAACTTAGCACCTCTTTCTGATGGTAATGTTTTCTCTTTATATATTGTGAATTTATATAGCAACAACAACAAAATTATAGCATTAAATTGGAGTCCAGCTTGTATAACTTGTGTAATTTGTTTGTATACTTTATGCCCTGATGCAGATATTGCTGAATCTAAGCAGCTTTTGGATAAGCTTGTTGTGGTGAAGTTTAATGAAGCTTCTGGAAAACATATGGGTTTCAATGGTCCCAAGTAAGCAATATTCTAACCTCTAGGAAGTTGATGCTATTTTTATTTCCAGGAAAAGAGAGCATTTCTTGAGGAGGCCATATTTATATATTAAAGCTATGCTTCTACTTATTAAATATAGTTTCTGTGATATGTGTATTTTTTTTTGTTCCATGAAGACGGTTTGAATAGAATCTTGTTTGAGATAAATGGTTAAATCTTTTTGTAATATTATGATGGCATGCTTACTTCAGAATATCGTACTACTACCAGCCTTGTGGATGAGTTGTTTTTGTTATTATATTTGGCATTCACGCACCATACATGCTTATTCTGTATAAATAAATGATTCTTTACTACTAGTCTCCTTAGTGGTCTTAATATTTGAGAACAATTTAAGACCTGTCTAGTTTTTATTTGAGGGATCGATGTGCTTTGTCACTTTAGTCTTTGATGTATGAGTCATTCTTATCATAGAAACATTTTTGGCATTTAGTTGAATTTGTGCAATTTCTTTTTCCTTTGTGCAGGTCTTTGATGGAAGTTAAAAATGGGTCAACACATCTTGACTTAATTGTTAGCCAAATTCAGGTTGGTTACGGGCTTTTGTTATATGTAATTTTGTTCTATATCATTGGAGCTCACTAGTTTAATACTTTCAATTGTAGTCACTGAATTCCAAGTATGGATGCAACATTCCTCTGTTTTTGATGAACTCAAAGAGAACACACAATGATACCTTAAAGGTGATTTATTTTTTCCACACATTCTATTTGTATCCTTGTATTTCAGCAAAGGTACTGAGCCAAATCATCATGTGTAGGTTTTGGAGAAGTATTCCAGCTCAGACATCGATATACATCCTTTTGAACTGGTTTGAGAATCTAGCTTTTCTTGTTTTATTGCTTCTGGATTTTTTTGCAGTCCTTTACCTCGTGACTTACTCTTGATAAATTTCCGAACCTAGCTAGATATACATCCTTTTGAACAGTTTTGAGAACCCAACTAGTATTTTCTTATTGCATAACTGGCTCTTGAATTCTTTTCTACAGTCCATAAATTTGTGATTTCCTCTTGATAAAATAATTGGATTAATGTAGGGCGAACAAACTCTAGATGAATCAATTTTCAGTGAGGGTGGCGAGGATGAATGGTATGCCCAATTTTGCATCCTTTTTCACAGCTTCATTATTTTTTTTTTTTTCATTTTTTTGGTTAGTATAAGATTTTATGGTATGAATAAACTATGATAATAATATTTAGCAACTTCTGCAAGTTTTGGTAAATTTCATAGTAGAACTCAGCCATAAATTTGAATGCAAATAAAGGTAACTCAACAGCTATTACACTGTGAATTTATTCTTCATATTTTCTTTTTCTTTCCTCATTGTTCTTATGAAATACCAGTCCTTTAGATTGTTCTATTTTGGATGTATATTTTCCTGATTTCAGAATTTTAAGTACCTTTCATTTTGATGAACAGAAAAATGCCTAATCTAGTGTCAGTATCCTCTTTTTCTCTTGAAAACAATAGTTTGATCTTCAATTGAACACCATAGACATAGAGCTTGTAGCGTCCTTTTTCTTTTTGCTTATTATTATTTGGTATGCGATTAAATTGTGAGTATCAATTTGCTGAAAGCTCTTCTCAATGCTTCAATTTTCATTTTTGCAAAGGCAATCTTCTAATCATGGCGCTCAATTCCTTTCCCTCATGAATGGTGGAACTCTTGATGTATTACTTTCCCAGGTATTTGTGATATGGAAAATGTTTCTTTTTGTTTCTCACATCTATAAGAGAAAATATTCATGAGAACGAAAATGCAAACGAATGCCAGGAGGAATCCTGATGCAAACTGTTAATCTCATTGTTTCCAGGGTAAGGAGTATGCCCTTGTGGTTAACCCAGACAACGTGGGCAGTGTTGTGGACCCCAGTATCCTTGCATTGGTTTTGATACTTAATTTTCTGGTGTCTAATGACCTTCATTCTGTAGTTGTTCCCCTTGATTTGGTATTCAGAAATCTTGAACCATTTGTCCCAAAACAGTATTGAATATTGTTCGGAGGTATGCAAGGATGGTTTCCATTTATTATATTACTTTGGCTAAATTTTTTTTGTAAGTCTTTACTATTTTCAGGTGATGCCAACCACCTCAATTGGTTTAATCAATGTTATGGCTAGTTCACTCCAAGGAAAGTTCAAGGCAAGTGATCTCATGAAATGTGCTGGTGTCTGATAAACTCATTTGATATCTATGTATATTTCAAAACATCGTTAATTAACTTTGTTGCTTTCATCATGATATAGCTTGAAGATTTTACTTCAGAAAATACACAAAAGGTAAGTTGCTTATAATACTTATCCAAAAAAGAAAAAGACATGAAAATGTGTAAATGTGCACTTTTTGTCCAAAATTTCTATGTCAAAATGTACAGAACAATAGTGCAAATGTGCAATTGCATAATTTCTTTCAGATATTGTTTGGTTGATCTAACTGTTTGTTCCGTCTTCCTTTCTGTTTTGTCATGGTCATAACAAGTTTGTGAAAGGGTTCAAATTCATTGATACAAGAAACCTGTAAGTGAGCTGCTATGCCTCGTGAATTTGTTCTAACAAGACGCAAAAAGGCTAAATTATTGTTTCATTTTTCTCAGGTGGCTAAATTTGAAAGCCATTAAAAGGCTTGTAGGAACGAGTGCACTGGGTTTGGATAGCCTTTCTAATTCAAAGGTGCTTTATAATTGAAATTTTTGCAGACAGGTTTACACGATACATCAAGCAAGAAACTGATGGATTTTTTGTTGTTGTTGCTTTGTCATTGAGGCAGTTATTTAAAAAATCAGTTGGCATTTCCATTCCACAGTCTCGTTTCCTTCCATTGAATTCTACATCAGACTTACTTCTTCTCCAGGTGATTCTCTTCATAAACTATCCTATCAAAAAAAAAAAATTTCTCTTCATAAACTATACTTTTATGCTACATCTCAATGAAATTATTATTTCATCTGACTTTAGATTCTAAGCATCAATTTTGTGTTCTACAGTCGGACCTTTACTCATTTAAGGAAGGCATTTTAGTTCGAAATGGTGATAGGGTCAGTCCTAGTAACCCTCACATTGCTTTAGGACCTAAATTCAAAAAGGTGAGGGTTGCGGACTCACAATGGCATTATCTTTATTGTGGCTGCATTTATTTTCTTGAATATGTTATTAAACTCTGTTTTCCTCGTCAGCTAATCGATTTCAAAAGTCGATTTACAACCATTCCTAGCATTGTCAAGCTGGATAGCTTGGAAGTGGAGGGTGATGTTTGGTTTGGAGCTGATGTAACACTCAAGGTATCCATATTATTGCCCCTGCATCATATCTTGTTTACATTTAAACTTGATACTATCATATTTTCAGTACTGAAGTTGCAGACGAGTGTTGCTTGTTAGTATTTTCAAATCACTATAATTTGATAATTTGTTAATTATTGATTGATGTCTAGCAATAGGGAATATGTCCAATGGAAGTTTCTGTAAATTGTTATCAAAATAAAATTTCCTTTTCCCACAAAATGAAAAAGTGCCATCAGTTCTATACTTTCTTTGGGAACTTCAACTATTCTATTTGATTCCTATCGAAATTTCTCTTTTTGTTTTTTTTGGGTTGAAATTAATATTTACTATCTGCAATGTTTGGTATGGATTGTTTACTTGGTTTTTGAAACAAATCAAGAGTACAGCCAATACTGATATCGTGTTATGTGTATTGAAATACTCTTGTTACTCGGACTCGATTGTGAGTTTTGGACTTATGTATGTGTATGACAAGAGTATGTTCAATATTTTTCAAGATTTTCATGTATTTGGGATTGTCCATGGAAGATCATGTCCCCCTACATCCTATATCCAGAAAAGTGGACATTGGTACTTGAGAAAAATGAGAAGTCAGGGCAAGAAATATGCTTTGCATGTAGGTTTTCAGGGCACCACCGTGCACATACATGCACATATATTTGGAGAATGTACGGATTGGGTAAAAATGAATGGGTTTGCTTTCTTTGAGGTTTCTAAGTCTACTGTTTTTGTACTGCCAGTGAGTCTGGAACTTTGTCGTTTAACTCATTTTGATGGTTTGTATTCTTAAAAGGGGAAAGTTATAATCGATGTGGACCCTGGGCAACCTTTGCGAATTCCCGATGGAGCTGTGCTCGAGGATAAGGTAACTCTTACATATATCTCGGCACTGCTTGAAGATTGTGGACACTCAGACCTGTTTCGTTTGTTTTGCCTTTTGTGTTGTTCAGGAGATTGACAGTCCTGCAGACATTTGAGGAGAGAAATGGTTTCTACCATTTTGGTGGATGAACAAATAAAGACATTGTAAGATCATGTTATTCAGATTATGTTTTATTGAAACAGGAAATAATAGTTAGAGCTTTGAGCACAACAATTACAACCAGCTTAATGGGAGGTTTGATTTTTTATATTATTATTATTTTGATTTTGATTGAATTTTTATATCTATTTAATTTACAACTTGAAATGAAAAACTTTTGGGAGGTTTGATTTCAATTCATTGGGGGAGAATATTACGTTAGGTTTTATTATTTATCTTTTAGATTTAGGTTTTTTTTAAAGTTTTTATTATTTTTATTTTATAATTTTAAATATTTTTAGAAAGCTAATGACATTATCATTGTATGCCAATACTTTTTAAAAGTTAATATCTTTATTATTTTTATATACTAATTTAGAAAAGTATACTATATCCAAGTATAAAATGTATTTTGAACCTATTGAATTCGAGATATAATAGTGTATTAATTAATTATTTATATTAATATCAATTTAATGGGCTCAACTAGTGCTTCTTGTGATAAAATTTTAATGGGTAAATGTTGAATTATATATTTTAATATAACAATTAAGGTGAAATGTTTTTGGACTTGAATTGAATTCATTCAAAGTTTTTAAAAACAATTCAAAGTCTATTCAACTTGGAATTGAGCATAAAATAATTTTCTGGATTAGAAATATCGATATTGTTTTTACATTGTCGATATCTCATGAACAATACTGATACTATTCATATGGTATCGATACCAAAGGTAAGGGAGGTATCGATACTACCATCATTGCTCAAATTTCAGAATACAAAAATGGTATTGATACCCTTTTGGGTATCGATACTACTTTGTATAGTTGTATCGATACCATAGACATAGTATCGATACCATCAAGCTCCAATGGCTAGTAATGGCTAGTTGATTAAAAAATAACAAAGTATCGATACTCCACATAAGAGTACTGATACCCTCTGTTCTGGGAAACTTTATTTTACAGAGAAAAACATCCTTAACGGCTCTAAAAGACTTCCAACGGCTAGAAACAGCCACAACTTCATTCCAACATATAAATACAAGTTCAAGACACTTGAAGAAGGGTTAAAACACATATCCAAGTATTCAAACACAAGAGAAGAGTTTTTCATTCCTATTTTACTTTCTCTTGTAAATATTTTGTTCTTGTGAGCTTTAATTTGTAAACACCCTACCTTTAAGATGTTTTATTTGTTTACTTCTTTTTTCCTTTTGTAAAGGGGATTGGTTCTAATTTAGCCAAGTGAAAAACTAGAGAGTTTGTAAAAGTTACTCTTGATACTTGAAAAAGAAATAACAAATTAGTGAATTTGTTGGAAAATCCTTAGTGAGAAGCTAAGGTAGTGGATGTAGACTTAGTTGAGAAGTCGAACCACTATAAATCGCTATGCAAAAGTTTTTATCTTTTCATTCTCCTTACTCCCTAAACCGTTATTGCCAATTCACCCCTATTGCAACTTTTTCGGTTGTTGTTTTGAGCCTATTCGATTCTAACAATTGATATCAGAACTTGACTCATTAAAAGGTTTAACAACCTTGAGACGATCCTCGAAGAAGCTCTACCGATTTCTAACGCAACCGACAAGAGATGGCTTCAACCTCCAGTGCCTATTACATTAAAGATTCACAACCGGTCAACAAACCACCCTACTTCAATGGAGCCAATTATGCCTATTGGAAGAATATGATTATGCTCTTCATTCAAACAAATGATTTAGGAAGTTGGAACTCTATCATGAAATGATACACCATTCAAACCGGCGAGATGGACGATTGGAGTAATGGAGAGAATAAGAAGTTTCAACTCAATGCTAAGGCTATGCACATTCTCTTTTGTGCATTAGGCCCAGAAGAATATGGAAGACTCTCATCTTGTTCCAATGCCAAGGAGATATGGGATAAGCTCCAAGTTACTCATGAAGGAACCGATGATGTGAGGGAAACCAAGATAAGTCTTCTCAACCATAGCTATGAGAATTTCAAGATGAAACCGGATGAAGATATCAAAGCTATGACGGATATATTTTCTGTGATTGTCAACAGTCTAAAGGGATTTGGAGAAGTAGTCCCTAATGAGAAGCTTGTGAGGAAGATGATATACTCTCTTCCAAAGTCTTGGCAATCGAAGAAGACGACAATCATTGGGGCTAAGAATCTAAAGTCTCTCACTCTTGATGAGATGATTGGTTCTCTTTTCTCTCATGAGTTGATGGTGAAGAAAGAGGAAAAAGATGAAGATAAGCAAAACAAGAAGAAGGAGGAGGTAAACATTGCCTTCAAATCCACCAATGAGAGCAATCAAGATTCAAATAAAGACGTGGATGAAGACGACGATGATGATGAATAGATGGCCAAGCTCTTCAAAAGGTTCAAAAAATTCATGACTTCCAAGGTAGTGAAGCATGAATCAAGCAAGAAGAAGACTCCCCCGGTGTGCTTCAATTGTCAAAGAACGGGGCATGTCAAGTATGAATGTCTCCTCCTAAAGAAGAAGAGATCAAGCAAGAAAAAGACACTTGTAGTAGCTTGGAGTGATGAAGATGACTTCAATGATGAAGATGAAGTAGCCAACCTATGCCTCATGGCCATCAGAAAAGATTCAATGGTAACTTATAACTCAAATGAATTCTATTCTTATTCGTTTGATGAGTTACAAGTTGCTTATAATGAGCTTATTTGGAATTTGAGACCATGAATTCCAAATATAAGAAATTAATTTTAAAACTTAAAGTTGAAAATGAATTGGTTTTGAAAGCAAAAGTTGACTTTGAAAAACAAAATGAAAGTTTGAAAAATTATTTAGAGCTTTCAAAAGTCAAAATAAATTATTTAGAAAAAGAAAATTTTGATTTGAAAGTTAAGCTTAAAAACTTAACAAAAGAAAAAGAATTAATTTCTAAAAACAACTCATTATGTTTAAAAATGGCAAAATGGTCATATTGCCATTTTCGTGGTCATATGGAGCATGTTTGTCCTATAAAGAATAGATTTTTTTTAAAAATTAGACAAATATGAGTTCCTAAGGGAACAAGGGGCATTGAAACTAACGTCCAAGGATCCAAAGAATTTTGGATATCAAAATATACTTAAATGTCTCTTGTAGGTGTGTGGGAGCAATGGTGATGAAAATGAAGATGTTCAAATGCTCTAGCCATACTTGAAAAAGGAATGGGTAACCTCTAAGCTTAAAAGTTTTTTTATTTTGCATAATTGGTTGTTCATTTAGGTTTATGCATGTATGTGTTTTGATTTTAAATGATTTTATGTTTTCTATCTTATGTATATTAAAAAGGTGTTGTGATGAACATTTTAAAGTTTTAATGATTTTTCATATATTTTTGTTCATCATAATGAATTTTGGTCAAAATTGGGTTTAAAATGCAAATGATATATCTCTAACAATTGAAATCAATTTTCCAAATGTTTTGATTTTAAAATTTTAATTTTTTTAACCTAAATTTAAATGTTTATGCATGTGATTTAAAATGTAAATGATATCTATCTAACAATTGATATCAATTTTTCAAATGCATAACATTTTTGAAAGCTTTATGCATATGCACTTAATTTCAACATTTAGTATTGCATAAAGTATTTTAGGCTTGGATATATTGAATTTCATGTGCTACTAACATGTTTGTTATTATTTGTTGAAATTCAATTTTGTTTACGTATCAATCTTTTAAAGTCATTTTTTGTTTGGAATGGACTTTTTGAGGGGGAACTTTGATTTTTCAAATGTTTTTAATGTCAAGTTTATCACTTACTTTCCAATGTTATTTTAGAACTTTAAAGTTGAATTATTTTTTGATACAACAAAAAGGGAGAACTATGGTTTGAAAAAAAAATCAATTTCTTAATGAAAAAGGGGGAACTAAACATTTTTATACTTTTTCCAACAATTGGTATTTTTTTTCATTAAATATTTCATTAAGGGGGAGTTTTGTCAAAAATAAATTTTCAAATGTTTTATTATATCAAAAAGGGGAGATTATTGAACTATATTTTTGATATAACAATTAAGGCAAAATGTTTTTGGACTTGAATTAATTTATTCAAAGTTTTCAAAAATAATTCAAAGTCCATTTAACTTGGAATTGAGCACAAAATATTTTTCTGGACTAGAAGTACCGATATTGTTTTTACAGTATCGATACCTCATGAACAGTACCGATACTGTTCATATGGTATCGATACCAAAGGTAAGGTAAGTATCGATACTCACTAGGTAGTATCGATACTACCAGTGTTGCTCAAATTCTAGAATGAAAAAATGGTACCAATACCCAAGGGAGTACCGATACTTCTTTGTATAGTAGTATCGATACCATAGGCATAGTATCGATACATCGATACCATCAGGCCCCAATGGCTAGTAACGACTAGTTGATTTAAAAATAACAAAGGTAGTACCGATACTCTATATAGGAGTACCGGTACCCTCTGTTTTTTGGCAGTTTTATTTTGCAGAGACAAACATCTCCAACGGCTCTAAAAGACTCCCAACGACTAGAAACGACCACAAATCCAACATATAAATACAAGTTCAAAACACTTGAAGAAAGGTTAGAACACCTATCCAAGCATTCAAACACAAGAGAAGAGTTTTTCATTCCTATTTTACTTTCTTTTGTAAATATTTTGTTCTTGTGAGCTTTAATTTGTAAACACCCTACCTTTAAGAGGTTTTATTTGTTTACTTCTTTTTACCTTTTGTAAAGGGGATTGGTTATAGCTTAGCTAAGTGAAAAATTAGGGAGTTTGTAAAGGTTACTCTTAATCCTTGAAAAAGAAAGAATAAATTAGTGAATTAGTTGGAAAATCCTTAGTGAGGAGTTAAGGTAGCGGAGGTAGACTTAGTTGAGAAGTCAAACCACTATAAATCGTTGTGCAAAAGTTTTTATCTTTTCATTCTCCTTACTCCCTAAACCATTTTTTCCGATTCACCCCTATTGCAGCTTTTTTGGTTGTTCTATTGAGCCTATTCTATTTCAACAATAAATTATATACATGATTATTCATGTTCGAGTAAGTTTCTTTTATT